AAAAAAAAAAAAAAAAAAAACACTTGTGTCATATTAAACAGCACTCAAAACAAAGGTGGGCAAATGGCCCACGAGCCAAATCCAGGACACAGCCTGTTTTTGTACAGCCTTCAAGCTATGAATGGTTTTTAAACTTTTAAAGGGTGGTTAAAAAAAAAAAATCAAAGAATATTATGTAACAGAAACCATATGTGGCTCACAAAGCCTAAAATATTTACTATCTGACCTTTCAGAAAAAGTCAGCTGACCCTCGATCTATAACAGAGGTAACACCATAGTACAGAATATACATTAAGCTGAATGGGCACAGACTCTCGGGCTCATCCCAGACAGGCAAGCTGAGGAGTCTAGGTGTGTTAAACATGACTCAGGGATTAGCCATTCTAATAACACCTACGATGACTCCCAGCATCCTTCTGCCATACAAGGCATCGTAATGTGCTTGATCTTTTCTTCCTTCCTTGATATGCCCACAGTTAAACTAATAGGACAATTATTTTAAAATCAGATCACATATAAAACAACCATTGATAACATCACTGACAGGAAGATGCTTTTGTAGTACTCGAGGAACAGAAATCACTGTTGTGAGATTGTTTCTAACAAGAAGGCACGTGCGACTCAAATCCCACCCTGGAGATAACCGAGGAGGAGACATGCCTGTCTCAAAAGTACACCGTCTGTTCTCACTTTCTTCTCGAGCACGGCACAACCAAATCTGTCTCTTGACCCAGCCCTGACTATGCTGGGAACACTTGATAGGCACCACAGGGGAGTAGAAACATACCAGCACCACCAGCGGGGATAATTGTTGTCTGGTTTCCAAACGTCTGAAGAGCAACCTGTTTGACCATTCCTGAATGGGAGCGGGACACAACAATCCTTGGGGTCTTCTCATTGTAGGAAGTGCGGGCTTTCACATTTGACCCACCATCTACCATTGCCCAAGCTGAAAAGCAAATATAATATCCATTAATAGCACTTTTTTTTTTTTAATAATTTTATTTATTATTTTTCCCCCAAAGCCCCAGTAGATAGTTGTATGTCATAGCCGCACATCCTTCTAGTTGTTGTATGTGGGACGCGGTCTCAGCATGGCCGGAGAAGCGGTGCGTCGGTGCGCACCCGGGATCCGAACCCGGGCCGCCAGCAACGGAGCGCACACACTTAACCGCTAAGCCACGGGGCCGGCCCCATTAATAGCACTTTTAAAAGTAGAACTGGAAGTACCAAGAGTAACTGAAAAAATACCTTCTTCCACAGAATTACTTGCATTTTTTTCCAAAACAAAGAGCTTTATTTTTTTCCTGAATACAAGAGTAACATGTTTATTTTTTTTACACTAACATAGGCATATATTAAGACAAAGCTAAAAAAGGCCATTTACTCCTGACCAGCCAGAGATAATGACTATTAACTACTTGGCTTAAGATCTCCCAGGCTCCAGGGCTCCCTGTTGGGTGGTGGCTGAGTCTTCACTGGAATCCAATTGCAACTAAACTTCTCCTTGGACCTAATATCACTTCCCTCCTCCGTTCCACAGATTTGATCCCAAGAGTATACTCCCTAATAAACATTCTGCACGCTAATCTCCATCTTGAAGTCTGATTCCCGGGGAACCCAATCTGTGACAACCTATGACATAAACACAACTAATTACCCTGGATAACTCAAATTTTAAATTTTATTTTTCTCCTATACTACCTCTACTTCTGATAGAGGTTTCAATTATTTGCATATTGGCTCAATCTCCTAAGGAGTTTTACAAACATGAGACAAAGAGGTGAGTGAGTTAGGTTACATATCTGCTTTATCACAGAGTATAAAAAGAAAAAGCTCTAGATTTTAAAATAAACAGAATTTTTTCTTTTTGGTGAGGAAGATTGGCCCTGAGCTAACATCTGTTGCCAATGCTCCTCTTTTTGCATGAGGAAGATGGTCCCTGAGCTAACATTTGTGCCCAACTTCCTCTATTTTGTATATGGGACGCTGCCACAGCATAGCTTGATGAGTGGTGTGTAGGTCCACACCTGGGATCTGAACCTGTGAATCCCAGGCCACAAAGCAGAGCTCGCAAACATAACCTCTACGCCACCAGGCCGGCCCCAGAACAGAAATTTTTAAGTGGGCGAGAAGACCCCAAAGATAGCTTGAAATGTTTTTCCTGGTTCGGAAGTTTTCTTCACTGACTACTAAACTTTATAAGAAAACAAACTTACAGAATTATCCCAATTAGATAGTTGTTCTGGCAGTCACTCACTATGGGGTAAAATGCAGTCCACCATGGCCAGCAAGGAAAGCAACTGCATTACTACTTAGTCCTGGCTGCAGAAAAACACCAACAGAATCTGGGTTTCTGAGTTCAAGGATGATGGTGGAAGTCTCTTGGACTCTTCTCACACTTCTTTCTAAAAACCACACATAGCAACAAGGAGAACAAATACAAACACGCTTAATCAATACCTAAAGAATAAGTAGGAGACACAGGATAGCCATAAACACAAACTTATGAGCAAGAAAGGGAGTAAATACGGAAGATCATTAGAATAAGTGCTGCAGCCAACCCGAGTGTGGGGAATACGGCAGGAGCTTCACAGAAGTGCCAAGAGGTCAGAGGATGCTCAGTGGTGGCAGAACTCAGAAAACATCAGCCAGGATTTCCTACCAGAAGGAAAAGATCCCATCTACAACAAGAACTACTGAAAGTAGGCCTGAAACTGGGCAGCAGAGCACAGAGGAGAGGAGGCTCGCAGAACACATGGAATCAAAAGTGCAGTCTTGAGAACATACTGGACGACATACTACATCTTTTAGGACGTCTCTCCAAAAGAGAAACAATTTGGAAGACAGCAAATAGAACTAAAGAGAAGGAAGGGGTTTGAAGATAAGGGCCCTACTGAAACAACACAGGATCAAACAAGAAAGGAGAAATGTGAAAACAAAAAAAGATGCCTGATAATAAAGATAATGCCTTCCTCACGCTAACAGAAAAGAAAGCTCCTGAACTGAGACTCATCCAAACTCGTTTTCTGCCACCACCCTCCCACCGATGCCACAGTAGCCGACCCAAATATGAATAAGAAATATAAAACTGCAATGTCCATTGAAAAATATAGGAAGAAAACACAGAGAATGAAGATTAAAACATTTCAGGTACTTCAAAGCAGAGGAAAACTATAATACAACATTCCAACATGATTAAAAACAAATCAGCAACAAAAAAATGAAAAAGAACGCTATGAAAAAAAGACCCCAACAACTCAGAAAAGATGGAATAGGAAGATATAAAATGGGAACTCACATAACACAGGAAAGAAACTGGAAAAAAAAAGGACAAAATCACTGAAGACTTAGCACTAAACCACAGGATGTCCAAAGGACAACAGGTATGTACAAAAACACAGTAAGCGATGAGAAAAGCAGAAAATAAGTGAAGTAAGTAAACAGATAAAAGGGACCAGAGAGCAAGAGGCACAGAAGCCAGTGAAAGAAGAGTCAACATATATATATTATCAGGAGTCTCTGAAAAAGAAAAGCAAACTAATGAAATAGAACTAATCTTTAAAATTATGACTCAAGAAAATGTCCCTGAAATAAAAGAAGACCCAAATGTCCACACTGAGAGACATATTATGTAGATATCTGCCCAGAATGCCAACTCTGAATCTGAGATATAGTTCTATTATTAGACTTTAAATATAAAGTTCATTGGCACTATAGGCAAAAAGACCAAGCCACTTACAAAGGAAAGAAAAACTGGTTATCAGTCTTATTACTATTGCCAACAAGATTCAACACATGCCTACACACGTATTGCACCAGTTCAACAGTTTCTACCAGTTAACTAAGAAAAAAAGGGGTACAGTGGGTTGAATAGCGCCTTACCAAAATTCATGTCTACCCAGAACCTTCAGAATGTGACCCTATTTGGAAACAGCGTCTTTGCAGATGTAATTAAAGTTGAGGTCATTCTGGATTAGAGCGGGCCCTAAATTCAATGACTGGTGTCCCTATAAGAAGAGGAGACACAGAAATACAGAGACAAAGGGATGTGAAGACAGAGGCATGGATTGGAGTGATGTGTCTACAAACCAAGGAGCAGAAAGGAAAGAACGCCTGGAGACACCAGAAGCTGGAAGAGGCAAGGAGGGATTCTTCCCTTGAGCCTTCAGAGGGAGCATGACACTGCTGACACCTTGATATCAGACTTCTGGCCTCCAGAACTACAAGAAAATAAGCTGCCCCATCTGTGGTCATTTGTTATAGCAGCCCTAGGAAATGAATATAGGAAATGAATATAAAACCGAAGATTTTATCACTAGCCAAGAGGTCTTTCATGTATCAAGGTTATAGAAAAAGCTTTTAACATGTAAGGACTCAGGTAATACCACATCCATGAGCAAGCTTTTCTGAAGTAATCCATTAGAGGACAAGCTTTATCCAACCAAGGGATGACTGAAGAAATCTCAGCAAAAGCACTGTTGGTTAGCACTGGATAAATTTAACTGTGGATTCAAGAGGAAATCAAAAACAGGAATAAAGGTGGAAGAAGAAAGCTATGTAAATGTTATCTCATAGCTGACTGATGACAGTCAAAGGATTCCACCTAAATCTGAAGAGCTGAATAGTAGAGTAGAAAGACGAACATCAAAAAAGATATGATTGACTAAAACGGGACAAGTAGTCAAGAAGAAGGTTAAAATAAGCTCATTTAATTGTTGCTCATAGGAGAGAACCAACAGACAATACCTAAGGAAAAGGACCATATAACGATACCTAAAGAAAACACTATACATTAAGGTGTGGGTAAAAGTGAGCAACAAAAAGAACAAATTTAACTTAAAAATAATAACTGCAGTTTGAATCACACTGAATATACAAAAATCCATGAGATCATAAGGCTATTAAAAGGTTAATATTACCCCTGAAAAAATAACAGCTGTTCCCACTGGAGGGAGTTTTTACCCTAATTCCTTATTTGAAAATTGGTAAAGGAAGAGTTAAACATTTATCCTGTCTTTCTAGTAGGAACTACATTTTAGGATAAGTAACTCCAGCTGATGGAGAAATTTCTCTATAGAAGAATTCCAACTAACATACATAGAAAAAAACAACAGAATTAGAAAATCCCATTTTACATCTTTAATAGATCTTAAAACTATTATGTAAAAGGTTTAATAGAATCTCGATCTCAAATGGTGCCACAATCTCTCTCCAGATTACCTGCTGGTAACAAGAGAATCAAAATAATTTCGTAACTGAGAGATCTGGTCATGACCATCTTAAGCATCATTAATAATGAGATGAGATATTATATGTCATGTATATGATGCAATAGGAAGTACATGAAGACTATCTACAATGGACTCTTGACAAAAATGCTTAACCTTAATCCAGTCAAGGCTTCAGATCTAATTTGCACTTTATAAGAAAAAGAAGATGTAAAAATATACAAGTCAAATGATACCCTGAGGAAATATCAGAAGAATCCAAAAGGCAGGACATTCTATGACAACTGACCTGGTCTCCTCAACAAGTCAATGTCATGGGGAAAAAGGGGGCTGGAGATTGTTCTAGTTTAAGAGAATTTAACATAGCAACCCAACAACCAAAAGAAATGCTTGTCACTTGACTGGATCTTGGTTTGAAGTAACTGGTTGTAAAATTCACTTTAGGAACAATTGGGGGAAATATATTTACATTCACATTGGATCAATTAGGGAATAACTGTTAATTTTATTATTATATCAATAGCATGGTTCTTGTGTAGAAACACATTCTTTTAAGAGATGCATACTGAAGTATACAGGGGTAAAATGTAATGATCTTTATAATTTTCTTTAAAGTATATAAGCAAAAAAAAAGCAAATATATAAAAATGTTATCAACTGTTAAATCTAGATGAAGGAATATATATTCATTATAATTTTATGTTTGTTTGAGATTATT